TGCACCATACAAACACAGAACAGACAGGCAGACCCAACTTGTGCTTTTGAGGCTTCAGGGCCTTCAGAGAACCAGGAAGAGGATGCTATGGGCAGCAAAGAGCCCTAAGGAAACCTCTACCCAGGGCCCAGACTGTCACTTCTCATTGTATCATTCTCTAGGCTGTCCCTCATTCGTGGCCTTCTGTTCTCCTTACCTCCAATTGGTCCTATGCCCACATAGATCGCTCCTTCCACATTACGGCCTTCCTGAACACATCCTCCAGGTGCACCCTGCCTCTCTTGTACCAGGAGAAAACAAACATTTCCTAGGAGTTTCTATAATGAGCCTTTTTAAGCCACCACCCACAACCGTTGATAATCTGCCGCTCTCCAAGCACTATGTACGTAACAGTACCTTTAAGTACTTCTTGTAATTTAGCAGAGGGACAGGCAAACTTGTAAGAAGCTACCATGAGAATAAATTATTTAATAAAATTTTGTTCTATTAATATTGAGCAACAGAGTCAAGTTCAGTTTTCCCAAGCTTTAGACTTTCCCGATTTTCCCACTTTGTGTTAAGTTAAAAAGCAAATAATTTGAGTGTAATTTCAAACGTGTGTTGCATTGCAGCCTCCGCTTCTGTTGGGTATGATGCTGGATTTGAACGTTTTCAGCCATGGATGATACACCTTTCTGAGGCTTTGTCTACACTGCAGGCTTCCTGCACAAGAAGCTTTTTGTGGAAGAGATCTTCCACAAAATCTTCTTGCACAAGAGCGCGTCCAAACTGCAAAAGCGTCCACCTTACAAAAAAGCCCAGACTGCATGGATGCTCTCTCAAAAGAAAGCTCTGATTGCTATTCCCAGAATGGCCACCAGAACACCTGTGCTTTTTCGACGTTTTGGCTTTTTTTGTGCAACCCCCCCCTGCTGCCCATTCACACACACCTTTTTGCACAAGAATTCTTGTGCAAAAAGGAGTTATTCCTCGTAGAAAGAGGGATACCTACACCACAAAAACCCCTCTGTTCTTTTGATTTACTGTAAATTTACTTGAGCAAAAATGCTCTTCAAGTGTGGATGCTCTGCTGCTTTTTGTGCAAAACCCCGGTAGGCTATGTCTACATTATGCATTCTTGCGCAGGAAGATATGCAAATGAGGCACAGTGATGAATATTGCTGCGCCTCATTTGCATACCTAATGAACCGCCATTTTGTGCAAGAAGGAGCAATCTATACTGCTCCTTCTTGCACAAAAAGCCCTCTTGTGCAAGAGCCGTTCTGCCGCTTGTTTTCTTGCACAAAAAGCCCTCTTGTGCAAGAGCAGGTTTTTACGCAAGAAGGAGCCGTGTAGACTGCTCCTTCTTGCGCAAAAGCCCCTTGTGCAAAAATGGTGGCTTATTAGGTATGCAAATGAGGTGCGGCGATAATGATCGCCGCACCTCATTTGCATACCTTCTTGCACCCAGAATGCACAATTTAGACGTAGCCGTAGTGTAGACGTAGCCTGAATGTGGTAAAAAACAAACTTTTTTTTCACTCTAAGTAGAAGTGGCCGGAGTCAGAGATGAAAAAAGAAATCTGAGAATGCATGCTGATTATGCGAATTGCAGTCTTTACCACCAAAAAAGAAAGAAAGAAAGAAAGGAAAAGGACTCCTTCATAAACAGTTGAGCTTCCTCAAACAATATCATGTGATTGAACCAAAATAAGTAAAGTTTGAGGGGAGGGGAAGAAGTGTTTTTCCTCACCTGCTGTTTGCACTAAGCTAATTTCATACTGAAACAGGCCCCTGCGGAGTAAGCCACCTCAAGCAGCACAAAATACATCCATATTTTACCATCAGAGTATGTAAATTGGTAGACTACAAAGATTTATATGGGGATTTGGTTGTAGCTCAACGGTGAGTAACTTATGTGTAAGTTGATTTAAATCAAGATGTTAAAATCAGTGTGTGTGTGTGTATATAACTTTTCATAAAGTACCTTGAAGAGTACAAATCCCAAGAAGACTATGTAAGTGTTAACCGCTGTTTTATTACCAGAAACGATGTGACCCATTATTATTGCACTGGGAACTTTCAAACTCTCACGCGTGTGAATAACTTAATTCCTGGGGATAATACCATTTAAATGAATGGGGTAATTCACATGAGCAAAGTTACTTCCATGCCTGCCTATGTGCCGGAACGGAGCCTTCATCAGTTTCCTTCCCTTGCTGTTTCTGCAGAGGTTTTATAGAATCACAAGAGATATATTTTTTAAAATAGGGAAATATGTCTGAAACCCCACTTCAGCTGCTTTTTTACCTCATTGTCTGAAGCTGACGAGTTTGATGTTTAATATTTGCAAATGTACACAAACAGAAGTCCTATTTAAGGAGACAATCCTACAGCATACACAGGCAGCAAACTCTCATTGATGTTAGCAGGACTTACAGGCATAGTTAGGGCTATAAGACTGGGCTCTCCGCGAAAAGATAAAGTATAGCTTTGGTGTTTTTATCTGCCTTTTGCCAAGATGCATGACAAATTTGTACTAAATCAGAACCTCAAAATAGTCCAGTATACAAAAACAGGAACTCTATTGCATAATACAGGAAAAACTAGACAAAATTTACCATGCAACAGAATTGCTTCAGAAGCAAGAATAAACAGTATTTAAAAATGTATAAACACAGATGGAATATTTTTCAATGTTCTAAGAAAAAAAGCCAATTAAGAAAAAAATATAAAAAAGGAGCAAAACTAGGACAGTTTATAATATTTTTTTTTTTTTTTGCAGATTAGGGGGATAAAAGTAAAAATATAAAATAGAAAAAACAAACAAAATGAAAATCTACGAGAATGTGCAGACCAACAGTTGCTACATGAGCGGTTTGTGCTGCTTTAGGTTAGCATCTGCTGGTGCTGCAATGAATTGCAATCCTCAAGCGTAGAGAAAAACATTTCTTTCCGTGCTCCTGACCCAAGCTCATTGAGATCACTGGTGCTCTGTGGGTGGTGTATTGGCATAGGCCAGCTTGCCAGATCTGGGATCGAGACTGGAAACTCTTTATGGTCTCAGTCCTGCAGTGCATTATGAGTTTTTTTGCTTAGTCAATTGCAGCATTGAAATCTAAGGAGGGAGCTGTCTCTCTTTGTTACATAAGCCAGTTTCACTCCTCTTAAACTAGCCCACAAGTGGTTTTGTTTGCTTATATTATTCCTTCAACTTTCTGTGACCTTACTCTGGCTGCACAGATCCTTTTATAAGAAAATGACAGGAAATCTGCTTGCTCAAGCCAGTTTTCCCAGAATCTCCATTTCTGATTATCTGCATCTTAGCCATAGCTACAACCGGAAATACACAAACTGCAAGCGGTTTAGATAAATGTTCTGCAACTGGTGAGAATTCAGAATCAACTGAAATTCCATTGAGACATTGAGGCTGAATTCAGAAGTGTTTTTAATCTTCTGGGCTATGTCTACACTGCTGGCTTTTGCTGGCAGAGCGTATGCAAATGAAGCGCTGATTAGCATTTTGTCACACTTCATTTGCCTAATATATTCGAGCCATTTTTGCATGAGGGGTTTTTGCGCAAAAACAAGCAGCGTGGACCTTTCCTTTTTGTGCAGAGGGATAAGGATCTTGTGCAAAAAGGGGTTTTTTTGCGCAAAAAGGAAACATCCAGGCTACATCTACACTATGAGTTTTCTAGGCAAAAAGTATGCTAATGAGGGACTCATTTGCATATTTTCTGCGGATCCGTTTTTTTTGGCTGAGGGGTTTTGTGCAAAAACAAGCAGTGTGGATGTTTTCTTTTTGCACAAAAACCCCTTTTCCCACAAGATCAGAAAAACCTCCTTTTTGGGGGCATAAGGATTTTGCGGGAAAAGGGGTTTTTGCGCTAAAAGAAAACGTCCACACTGCTTGTTTTTGCACAAAAACCCTAGCGAAAATAAGGATCAGCAGAAAATATGCAAATGAGATTGCATATTTTTTGCCGAGAAAACTCGTAGTGTAGACATAGCCCCACCTTGCTTGTTTTTGCGTAAAAACCCCTTGCGCAAAAACGGCTCGAATAGATTATGCAAATGAAGTACGACAAAATGCTAATCAGCACTTCATTTGCATATTCTCTGCCTGCAAAAGCCGGCAGTGTAGACAAAGTCATGATTTGTTAGGTTACCATTTGAAATCTTAGTCTCTCTCTCTCTCTCTCTCAAAAAAAGGTAAATTTCATAGACAAACTGACTGATTCAGCGATAAGGAGATGAATCTTTTACCACAAAAGGGGTTGAAGAAACATGTAAATCTTCTACTGACCTTGATTTTGTTTCATCTGGAAATAACAGCCTATAGCCAAGGTTTTCAGCAGTGACTAGGGATTTCAGATGCCTCCCTTTTTGGGAACTCTACTTGAGACACTTTAAAAGAGCCTGATTTTCAAGGGACAGCCATTCAGCACTTGTTGAAAATTAGGCCCTTTCAAGCGTTTTCATAGATTGATGAGGCCAGAAGGGACCATTTTGATCATCTGTTCTAAATTTCTGTGCAACTTGGGCCAAAGAATCTCTGCCAATGATTCCTGCATCAAGCCCAGAACTGATCCCAGATCTTTTACAAAGATCTTCATTCTTGATTAAAGAGATGAAGAATCCTCCAAATCTACATCTTAATTATTCCTGTGGCAAATTACCCTCTCTGTCAATCAGGTGGATCTCCATTCCGGACTGAGTTTCTCCCACTTCAGGTTCTAGCCAAGGTATTTCTGATTGGGTCCTCCAAATTGCAAATCACTTTTCAAAATGCTGGCAAACATTTATTTAGCACCTTTACAATTATGTTTATTCCGCACTGTGCAGACTTTGATCAACAGTAGAGTCCTACACTCAAAACAGAAAGACAGTAAAAAAGGAGCGATTAACCACGAACAAGACATTTCATTGCATTTGATGTGATAAAATCTGGTAGTCCAGAATTGGGTTCTATAGTCATCAAAAAAATCCAACTGTGACCTCACATCTGCAATAACCAAATGTCTGTAAAAACGAACCATGAGTGTAAAGAAAGAGCCATGTGCGAGTGGAATGGCAAAGATCCTAACAAATTGCAATACAAGCTATATGTAATGATCAGCTCGTCTACTGAAATGCTGCCACATCTGGGATGGAACACAGCAGCTTGTTAAAAAAAACCCCATGATTCTGGGATGCATTAACAGGAGTGTTGTGAGCAAGACACAAGAAATCATTCTGCTCTACTGTGTGCTGACTAGGCCTCAGTTGGAGTATTGTGTCCAGTTCTGGGTACCACATTCCAGGAAAGATGTGGAGAAACTGGAGAAGGTCCAGAGAAGAGCAACAAAAATGAATGAAGGTCTAGAAAACATGACTGATGAGGGAAGACTGAAAGAACTGGGCTTGTTTAGTGTAGAAAAGAGAAGACTGAGAGGGGACATGATAGCAGTTTTTAAGTATCTAAAAGGGTGTCACGAAGAGGAGGGAGTAAAATTGTTTTCCTTGACCTCTGAGGATCGGACAAGAAGCAAGGGGCTTAAACTGCAGCAAGGGAGGTTTAGTTTGGACACTAGGAAAAACTTCCTAACTATCAGGATGGTTAAACACTGGAATAAATTGCCTACGGAGCTTGTGGAATCTCCATCATTGGAAATATTTAAGAACAGGTTGGATGGACATCTATCAGCAATGATCTAGGTCTGTGGTCACCAACCCTTTGATCGCAATCAAGTGGTCGATCGCAAGGGCTCGACCAGTCGATCGCGAGGCGTTTGGGGCCATCCCCATTTCACTCCCACCCCCAAAAAGCCCCACTACCTACCTCCAGCAACAATGAAGGGAGTGCTGGCTTCCTGCAGGGTGAACAGAAGTCCTGTAGCTGCGTGCCATTCCCGGGGGTTCCAGAGGAGGCATGCGCCGGTGCTTCCCTGCTCTGCAGGAGGGGGGAGTCGTCTCTGGAGGAGGCGTGTGCCAGGGCTTCCCTCCTCTATGGGGGGGAGGGAGGAGGAGTCCCGGGAGGAGGAGGTTGCAGGGGACTCCTTGTCCTCTGCCCCCTGCTCCCAGCAACACCCTGTCCCTTGCTGCAGAACCCTGTCCCCTGTTCCCACTGGCACCCTTTTCCCTCTGGCACCTTGTCCCCTGCTGCAGAACCCTGTCCCTGCCCCCCCGGCACCCTATCCCCTTTCCCCCACTGGCATCATGCCCCCACCCCAGCACCCTGTCCCCTGCCCCCACTGGAACCCTGTCCCCTGCCCCAGCACCCACTAGCACCCTTCCCCAGTACCATGTCCTCTGCTTCCACCAGCACAGTTGGGGCCACGTTGGTGAGGCTTGTGGGGGTTTTGGAGGAGTTATTTTTTTGCATCTCACTTGTGTGGCCCCAACTGACTTTTCTGTGGGTCGGTGACCCCTGACTCAAAACAGATTCCCTGCCTTTCTCAGAAATAAAGACAATGCAGAAACTTTTTGTGTTTGACACAGTATTTTATTTAAAAATGAAGCCTGGCCAACAAACCCCCAATTGGGGCCAAGCCCCCATCTGGCTGCAACATCATAACACTCCTGCACCCCCCAGACCATAGACCTGAGCCTATCATACACTGGACCCCCCTGCCCTGAGTCCCTCACATACCCCAACCCAAATTCCTGCACCCTCACATCCACAAGCCTGTGGCTTTCTTTG